ATGGGGTCTCTCCTCTTTGTGTTTTCCAAACTGCTCTTTTTCTGAGACTTCGCTAAGACTGAAGCTGGGAGCTCACTTCTATCCGGGGATGAAGTCATCAGGAAGATGCCATCAGATTTTAGCAATGGCAAGAGCTCAAGTCTCCTCAAGCCTTCCCGGTCCGGGCAGTGTTCCTTTCCAAGGACGTACCTCACAGGGCCACATTAGCGGGCTCTTCTCAGTAAAGTAGAAATGGGCTTCCTCCCACTCGGTGGCGAGGGGGCCGATTCCCCGTGGGCAGGAAGCTCTGGCAGGGTGGGGGCTGAGGACTCACACAGTCAAGGCAGCAGGTAGGAAGACTCCGTTCTTCCTACCAGTATTCTGTTTGCTTTTTTTCTCTCCTAGCCCAGATATAAATAACAACAATAAACATAAGCTGAGACAGTCTTGCTCCTACACAAAATAAGATTCTGCAAAAATAAAATCTCATCTCAGTGTACAGAGAGGTAAAGAACGCCTTAAAGACTGTGAGATTTCTCTCGTATGCTAAACGCCTAAGAGCCTTTCCCGAGGAGATACACAGACTAGACACGTGTTCTTTCCAGAAGACATACAGGAGAAGCATCTAGACGTTTCCCCACCCCCACGCCCTACCTGCTGAATCACAGATTGAGGGCTTTAAATATAGAAACCAAAGGTCAGATCCCAAGGAACAATGTCTCTGCACTCAGTGTCCACAACAATTTATTAAATGCCTTTTCATTTGGCTCAAGAATAGTATGTAACCTGAGAGGAATGTGGAGAAGAAACTTTCAGAGCCGGTAATAAATTGTGTCTAAGGAGGGAACCTATGGCTCAGATTGCTGGTGGCGGTGCCGCTATCATCGGGGCTTTCTTCCAGAATTTTAACTACATCAAACATTCGAGTGGCGCGCTACAGACCCTGACCTCCTTTGGTCTAACAGACACTGTGTTTTGCGGGAAGGTTTGGGTCTGAAACAAAGTTCAGTTTGTTCTAGGAGAATTCAGTTGACTTTTTTGGCATTGGTGGCTGGAAAGCTTGAAGGCATACTAGAAAGTATTCTGTCAGGAGGCAGGCAGTTCAAGAGATACCACTAAGTCTCAAGCAATGAGGACATTCTCTTGGTCCAGAACAATCTAGGCCCTGGTCCCTGAGGGATCCATGACTCTCTGAGATCAACTGCGGTTCCTCCTGTATGGCTGAGCATGGGTGTGCTTGCTACACAGACAACTGCAGGTTCTGCAGGAAGAAAAAAAGGTAATAGCTCAAAAAAAAAAAAAAAAAAAAAAAAAAAAAAAAAAAAAAAAAAAAGCATCTCTCACCCGAAGCAGAGTGCTCAGTACTACAGCCTGTGGAAAATAGCTCAATCCCTCTGTTTTCTCTTCCTACCTTTATTTTCTGATTTTTTTCCCCCCATAGTCTGAAGTTTTACCTTTTTTATACCTGTATTAGCTTGCCATGTTACAAAATTCATGTTGTAATTTTTGTTAAATTAGCTCTGGAACAAAATTCTATTAATAAATAAATGAAAGAAAGATTACATTCCTGTGTTTTGTCATATACAGAGGTATTCTTGACTTTGTACGCCTTGTCAATATTCTGTGTAAATGAGTTCTTATTTCATCTTGAAGTGAAGCACCCACTCATGTTCAGAATTGTTTTTAAGGTGGAGATATGTTATTTAGACTTAGCTATTGCTGCACTCGGTGTGGCTCTCATGTGAACCTGACTGGTGGTGAGGGAAGAAAGAAAAGTCAGACACATGGAAAAGCTGGGATGAGTGGACTGGACTCTGGAGGGAGGAGCCTCAAGAGCACGGCAGCTTGGCATGTTTACTATATACAGTGCAATAGAGAATAGGGTGATTGCACACAACTGAACAAGGAGGCAGGGTTATTTTTATTTTATTCTTTTAAAAGAAAGCAAACTATCTTTTTTTCGTTATACATTCCAATCCAAGTTCCCATTCCCTCCTCTCCTCCCATTCCCTCTACTTAGCCCTCCCCACCCCAATCCACTCCCCAGAGAGGGTAAGGCACATTGCTTTGGGGATGGTTCAAAGCCCTCCCTACTATATCTAGGCTGAGAAAGGTATCCACCCAAAGAGAACAGGTTCCAAAAAGGCCAGGACAAGCAGTAGGGATAAATCCTGGTGTCACTGTCAGTGGCCCATTAGTCTGCCCCATCTTAGTCAACCACATTCAGAGGGAAAAGTTTGGACCTATGCCTGTTCCTTCCCTGTCTGACTGGTGTTGGTGAGCTCCCATTAGCTCAGGTAAACTGTTTCAGTGGGTGTGTCCCCATCATGGTCTTGACCTCTTCTTAGCTTATATTCTTACTCCTCCCACTCTTCAACTGGACTTTGGGAGCTCAGTCCAGTGCTCTGCTGCAGGTCTCTGCCTCTGTTTCCATCAGTTGCTAAATGAAGGTTTTATGGTGACATTTAAGATAGTCATCAGTTTGACTATAGTGCAAGTCCAGTTCAGGCCCCCTCTCCTCTATTGTTAGGGTCTTAGCTGTATTCATCCTTGTGGATTCCTGGGAATTTCTCTAGAGCCAGGTTTCCTGCTAGCCCCATAATGGCTCCCTCAGTCAAGATCTCTCTTTCCTTGCTCTCATCTCTGCCCTTCCTCCATCTTGACTATCCCATTCTCTCAAGTTCTCCTCCCCCTTTCCTTCTCCCTTCCTCTTCCCCTTTCACCCTCCCTTCTCCCCCCACCTCCATGCTCCCAATTTTGTCAGGCGATCTTGTCTATTTGTATCTATAGATGTTTTTCTTAGGGTTCACCTTGTTACTTAGCTTCACTAGGATCATGAACTATATAGGCTCAATATCCTTTGTTTATAGTTAGTAACCACTTATGAGTGAGTACATATCATATTCATTATTTTGGGTCTGGGTTACCTCACTCAGGATGGTATTTTCTAGTTCGATTCATTTGCGTGCAAATTTCGAGATGCCATTGGTTTTTTGTTTAGTTTGTTTGCTTTTACCACTGAGTAGTACTCTAATGTGTAAATGTGCCACATTTTCTTTATCCATTCTTCCACTGAGGGGCATCTAGGTTGTTTTCAGATTCTGGCTATTACAAATAATGCTGCTATGAACATAGTTGAACAATGCTTTTTATAATATGATTAGCATCTTTTGGGTATATGCCCAAGAGTGGTATTGCTGGATCCTGAGGTAGGTTGAATCCCAATTTTCTGAGAAACTGCCATACTGATTTCCAAAGTGGTTGCACAAGTTTGCACTCCCACCTGCAATGGATGAGGGCACCCCTTACTCCACATCCTCTCCAGCAGGAGCTATCATTTGGTGATTTTTATCTTAGCCATTCCAGGTGTGTAAAATGGTATCTTAGAGTTGTATTGATTTGCATTTCCCTAATGGCTAAGGATGTTGAACATTTCCTTAAGTGTCTTTTGACTATTTGAGATTATTCTGTTGAAAATTCTGTTTAGTTCTGTACCCCATTTTTATTTGGGTTATTTGGAATTTTGATGTCTACTATCTTGAGTTCTTTATATGTTTTGGAAATCAGTCCTTTGTCTAATGTGGGGTTGGTGAAGATCTTTTCCCATTCAGTAAGCTGCCCTTTTGTCTTATTGACTGTGTTCTTTACTTTACAGAAGCTTCTCAGTTTCAGAAGGTCCCATTTATTTATTGTTGCTCTCAGTATCTGTGCTACTGGGGTTATATTTAGGAAGTTGTCTCCTGTGCCCATGCATTGAAGGCTACTTCCAACTTTCTCTTCTATCAGGTTCAGTATAGTTGGAGTTATATAGAGGTCTTTAATTCATTTGGACTTGAGTTTTGTGCATGGGGATAGATATGGATCTATTTTCATTCTTCTACATATTGACATCCAGTTATGCCAGCACCATTTGTTGAAGATGATTTCCTTTTTCCATTGTATAATTTTATCTTCTTTGTGAAAATCAGATGTTCATAGGTGTGTGGGATTAATATCCAGGTCTTTGATTTGATTCCATTGGTCAACCTCTCTGTTTTTATGCCAATACCAAGCTATTTTCATTACTGTAGCTCGGTAATAGAGCTTGATGTCAGGGATGGTAATGCCTCCAGAAATTCACTTATTGTACAAGATTGTTTTGGCTATCCTGGGTTTTATATTTTTCCTTATAAAGTTGATTATTGTTCTTTCAAGGTCTGTGAATATTTTGCTGGGACCTTGATGGGGATTGCACTGAACCTGTAGATTGCTTTTGGTAGAATGGAGGCAGGGTTATTACGTCCCGATAAACAAGAAGGCAGGGTTTATTGTACACAGCTGGTCAAGGGAATAGGTTTAACCAATTTAGGTAGGTGCAGTCTTCAAGCAATAAATATCTAGGGAGAAAAATCATAATGGACATTTTCTGCACTATTGACACCCTCACACCAAGCAAAGGAAGATTTTGCCATCTCTCTGAGCCTTATCCTAAGGGGGGGGGGAGTAAGGTTTTGCCTTTTTCCCCTGTGTAGCCTGAATTCTAACTGGTCTTAATAATAAAAACTCCAAGTCAGCAATTAGGAGGTGAAAACTGAAGGATCAGAGAAGCAGAGCGGCCACTAGAGAGTTCTTAGCTTTCCCAAAGCTCTGATCAAAGGGCCAGTCCTGTCGTCAGACCACATCCTCAGACCGCATCCTCAGACCGCATCCTCAGACTGCAACAAACTCCTGTCTCCACCTCCCTTATATTCCCCTCGCCGCCCAGCTGTATCACTCCTGTCTTAACCTCCCTAGTTCTGGGATTAAATTTGTGGGATCCCAAGTGCTGGGATCACCTTTGTGCGAGCTCTGTTCCTTTTTTAGATTGGATCAATTTCGTGTAGCCCAGGGTGGCCTTGAACTAACAGGGATCCATCTGTCCCCAAGTCCTGAGATTAAAGGTGGGTGCCACCTAGTGCCTGACCTCTAGTGGCTTAGTTCTGCACTCTGATCTTCAGGCAAGCTTTATTTGTTAAAACACAAACAAAATATCACTACCCCTCCACCCCCCACCCCCCCACCCCGGTCTAAAGCTACCATCCTTGACTTGACTGTGTCCATGTCAACAGCACACTTTGACTCCGGACTTGAGTCACTCAGGGTTTTCTGCTCTCCCCACAAGCTCTACACTTCCTGAGCTATCCGTTTACTTTGAAACGCCTTGCGTCTTGAAGGCGATGTCTTTATTATTTTCCCCTGTTAGCCTCTCCAGCAGGGGAAAGGCTAACTGCATGAAGATGACTATATTAACTTTTCTGAAGAGTGACTTGAACCGCCTGTGCCTTTAAGTGAGAATGAGTTGATGAGGAGACGGAGACGTTTTCTTTTTGAAATATCAACCTTGTTCCGGCGAGTTTTATGTCAGTGTGACCCAAGCTGGAGTCATTCGGGCAGAGGGACCTTTAATGGAGAAAATATCTCTGTAAGCTTTTGCCTGCGCACAACATTTTACTGCTTTCTTTTCATTACTGATGATGGGTGTGGGCAGGGCGGGCCCAGCCCCTTGTGGGTGTGGCCAAGCCCCTTGTGGGTGGGGCCATCCTTGGACAGGCAGTAGGGAGTGGTTCTGAAGGTAGGCTGAGCAAGCCAAGGGATACAAGCCAGCAAGCATCACTCCTCCACGGCTTCTGCATCAGCCCCTGCTTCCAGCTTCCTACTTGAGTTCCTGCCCAGGCTTCTTGGGGATGGATTACAAGCTGAACATTAAAATAAATCATTTCACCCTCAAGCTGCTTATGCTCATGATTTTGTCACAACAATAGAACCTTAACTAAGAGAAACCCAGGCTAGTATGTTCCCCCGACTAATAGTCTACTATCCGAGGAGAAACATGGATTATCTTTTCTTCAAGTATAAACTTCCTGATGTCACTAGACCAGATAGGACTAGGCAAGAGGTGGGCAGGCCTGGGTTTCTTGTACCTTATCCTGCAGAAATAGCCCAAAGAAACAAAATGAGAATTGTGTTGAAATTGTCCAGATCGCATGCAGCCTTCACTCATACCCAGACCTGACCTCACTTACACATGAATAACTAACACTATTATTACTGTTATAATTGCCTTGGTAGGGCCTTTGAGACACCATCATTCATTCATTCATTCATTTTTTGTAGTATGCCTGTTACTTTGACCAAAATATATAATAACTTAAAGGCATTCTTTCTATTGGCTCATTAGCTCATAGGTTTCAGTCATGGAGGGGAGGGTGGACCAGAGCAGAACAGTTCATATCATAGTGGACAGGACACTAGAAGGGGGCCAGGGCAATGTATAACTTCAAGGATACATTCTTAGTGACCAATTTTTCTTCTTAGATGTTAATTCCCAAAGTTTCCAGAATGTCTCCCAAACAGCACCAGCAGCTAGGGACCAAGTGTATAATATGGATCTATAGGGGCCATTTCTGCCCTGTGTACCAGACTCTGTGCTGCAGGTCTGAAAACACAGCAAAAATCAGCAATGGCCTCCCTCCTCCCTCCTCCAGCCTCCCTCCTGCCTCCTCCTCCCTCCTGCCTCTCACAGGACTTAGACTTTCCTGAGGAGACGGCATAAGTCAAAAACCCACCATAATGATTCCAAGTTTCAAAGCTGAGGTCAGAGTTTACAGAGTGGGGAGTCTGGTAAACCGATCTTATAAGAAGTTTGGGATAAGGTATCTCTGAGGAAGAGTCAGTGAAGCTGAGGTGGCAGGGCTGAGCAGGGGTGAACGGAGGATGACCAAGTGGGTCTGAAGCTCCATGGTGAGGTTGCCCAGGGAACAGGGAGGCTAACAGGACTGAAGAGCAGAGCCAAGGTGGAGAGTGGGTGAGAAACAGCTGGACTGGCAGGCAAGGGCCCACCAAGGGGCATTCTACACTAGGGGCATTAGAATCTTGAAGGATTTTCAATAGGCCTGGCAGGATTTACATTCTGAACAGATGCCTTGGTGTGAAAGCAGACTGGAGGGCATACCAAGACTAGCTGGATGGCTATGGCCTCCTGAATGCTGGGATTACAGGCAAGCGCCAGCATCTAACCCGGGGCTTCATACATGCTAGGCAAGCCCTCTGCCAATGAGATGCACGCACACTCTGCAGCTTAGTCATATTTAAAGCAGTCGTCTCAAATCTCTATCCAAGAAGGACTTGGGGTGGCCAGTAAATGATATACTTCTGCAAAGCTTTGCTTGGTTTTTCTTCAATGACTGAACCAAACAATAAAGTATTTTCACTACTGTCCACTAGGTGGTGCCATAAGAGTGACATTTTCAATTGTAATTCCAAGTAATAGTGGGCAATTTTTACACACACACACACATACACACACACACACTATAAATACGTCTTTAAATGCAATATACACATGCAATTAACTATGCAATGGAAATAAAAAGGAATAACATATAGATGGCCACATCATAGTTGGATATCCCATAGATGAACTTGAAAGAGTTAGGCCGAGTGAAAGACCACATATGGTACAAGTTAGTGTGTAGTAAATTATTGCAACAGACAAAATTAGATGGTAACAGCTGATTGGCTGTTTTCTAGGTCTGGAAAGTAGATGATAACAGTCAATTGGCTGCTTTCTAGATCTGAAAAGTAGATGATAACAGCTGATTGGCTGTTTCCTAGGTCTAGAACGTAGATGATAACGGTCGGTTGGCTGTTTCCTAGGTCTGGATGGTGGTCTGATACCTGAAAAGGAGGAAGATGGGGACAGAGTAGTGTCTTTTTGGCAAATGATCATGATTGGGTTACGATCCAAATCCCAGAGATACAGAAATGGTTAATTATATGGCAATCAATAAATGTAGTCTACCATATAAAGAAACTGAAAGACAAGAACTCCACGATCATCTCACCAAGTACATAGAAGGTTTTTTAACAAAATCCAATACCCCTTTATAATAAAAGTCCTGGAGAGGTTAGAGGTATAGTGGGCATAACTAAATATAAAAAAGGTAATTTAGAGCAAGCCCATAGCCAACATCAACTTAAATGGAGAGAAAGTCAAAGCAATTCCACTAAAAATCAGGAATAAGACAAGATTGTCCACTTTCTCCACAACTATTCAATACAGTGTTTGAAGTCTGAACAAGAGCAAGAAAGACAACTGAAGAAAATGAAGGGGATACAAACTGGATAGGAATAGGTTAAGGTATCTTTATTTGCAGATGGCATAATAATATACATAAGTGATTCTAAAGATTCTACCAGGAAAACTCCTACAGCTGATAAACTCTTTGAGCAAAGTGGCTGGGTACAAAATTAGCTCACAATAATTAATAGTTCTCACAGATACGAATGACAGACTAAGAAAGATGTCATGGAAACAACACCCTTTACAGTAGCATCAAATATTAGAAAATATCTTGGTAACTCTAACTATGCAAGTGAAAGACTTGTGTGGCAAAACTTTCAAGTCTTTGAAAAAAGAAGTTGAAGATATCAAAGATGGCAAGATCTCCCATGTTCATGCACATAGTAGATGAACATAGTAGAAATGGCCATCCATTTTATAGATGGCTACTAAAAGCAATCTACAGACTACAGATTCGATGAAATTTCCATCAAAATACCAACACAACTCTTCACAGTTCTTAAAATGGCAAATAAGCAATCAAGCAAAACCCAGGATTACTAAAACAATCCTGAACAATAAAAAAATTCCTGGAGCTATCACTATCTCTGACTTCAAGTTGTACTACAGAGCTATTAAAAAAACACATGTTATTAGGATAAAAACAGATATGCTGATCAAAGGAATAAAACTGAAGATCCAGATATAAATTTGCACACCAATGGACACTTAGTCTTTCCTAAAGAATCCAGAAATACACAATGGAAAAAAAAGACATCATTTTGAACAAATAGTGCTGGTCAAACTGAATGTCTGCATGTAGAAGAATGCAAAAATATTTCTATACTTACTATGCTGCACAAAACTCAACTCGAGGTGGGTCAAAGACCTCAACATAAAATTGCATACACTGAACCTGATAAAAATAAAGTGGGGAATAGTCTTGAACACATTGGCACAGAGGACTTTCCAAACAGATCACCATTTACACGGGCACTAAGATTGATAATTGCTAATAGGCAGCTCACAAAACTGAGACGCTTCTACATAGCAAAGGACACCATCATTCAGACAAATCAGCAGCTTACAGAATGGGAAAATACTTTTACCAACTCCACATCTGATGGAGGGCTAATATCCAAAATATATAAAGATCTCAAGGAACTAGATATCAAAAAGCAAATAATCCAATTTAAAAATGGGGTACAGAACTAAACAGAATTCTCCATAGAGAAAACTCAGTTGGCTGAAAAGCACTTGAAGAAATGTTCAGCATCCTTAGACATCAGGAAATTGGAAGTCAAAATTACTTTAAGATTTCATTTTACTGTCAGAATGCCTAAGATCAATAACGCAACTGACATCTCATGCTGGTGAGGATGTGGAGTAAGGGAAATACTCATCCCTTGCTGGTGGGAGTGCAAACTCACAGAGCCACTATGGAAATCAGTGTGATGGTTCTTCAGGAAGATGGGAATCATTTACCTCAATATCCAGTTATACCATTCTTGGGTATATACCTAAAGGATGCTTCATCCTCCCACAAGGACACTTGCTCAACCATGTTCATTGCTACTCTATTCCTAACAGCCAGAAACTGTAACTAACCTAGATGCCACTCAACAGAAGGTTGCATTTAGAAATTTAGAAACATTTACCCAATAGAGTATCACTCAGTTGTTTAAAAAATAGCATCATGAAATTTGTAGGAAAATGGAACTAGGAAAAAAACATACTAAGTAAGGTAACATAGACCCAGAAAGATAAATATTGTATTTATACACTTATATGTGGCTATCAGCTCTTAAATAAACTATAACCAAGCTGCAATCCACAGTCCCAGAGAGGTCAGGTATAGAAGGGACTAGGGCAGAAACATGGATCTTCCTGGGATGGGGAAATAGAGTAAATTTTATGGGTGGACTACTAACAGGGGTGGGGGAACAATAGAAGCAGTGGGGGCGATGGAGTAGAGGAAGGGAATGTGGGGAGAGACAGCTGGAACTGAGGGCCATTTGAGGAGTGGTAATGGAAAACTCTCACAGTAGAAACCTCCTAAAAAGCCGGGCGGTGGTGGCGCACGCCTTTAATCCCAGCACTTGGGAGGCAGAGGCAGGCGGATCTCTGAGTTTGAGGCCTGCCTGGTCTACAAGAGCTAGTTCCAGGACAGGCTCCAAAACCACAGAGAAACCCTGTCTCGAAAAACCAAAAAAAAAGAAAGAAAGAAAGAAAGAAAGAAAGAAAGAAAGAAAGAAAGAAGGAAACCTCCTAAAATATATAAAGGTGATCCTAATGAAGTCTCCAAATAACAAGGAAGAGGGAGTCCCAGCTGGCCATCTCTTGTCACCAAATGAAGCTTCCAGTACCATTACTGTGTTACATCCGGTTGAGTTGCTGGCCAAAAGGGTCCCATAGAATTCTCGCAAACAACCCAGGTAGTTGCCAACATTAGAGGTTGTTCTACACAAATGGCCAGCAAGGCCCTATTGCTGAAGGCAACACCCACACAATACATCAAACACGGAGAAGTTGAGCTGGTGCCTACATAGAACCTTCACCCCCATTTTCTTTTTCCTTTTTTTTTCTGTTAGTGCTTTGAGACAGGGTTTCTCTGTAGCTTTGAAGCCTGTCCTTGAACTTGCTCTGTAGACCAGGCTAGCAAAAAAAATTACAAAATTAGTTATAAATAATACTGAATTATTATAATTTTAAAAATAAAATAATGATAGCAACTTTTTTATTAAACTAATTCTATGTGTTCTCTCAAAGAAGCAGAATGCCGAAGATGGGATTTATTAATGGCTAGAAACACATGGAATTGTGGGAGGTGGCTAAGCTGTCTTTTCAGGGCTCCTTGTCATCCATTCTGATGCTAACAGGCACTGGGAAGGTCTAGATGAGCAACAACAAGTGCAATACACACGTGTACACACACACACATTTGCACACATGTAGAGATACAAAAGCACACACATGCTCACACAACCTGGCATCACCTGGAATGTGTGTCAGTTCTTGTTGGCTCTGACTTTAACTGTATGGGCGTCCTTCAGAGGCCAGGACTTTGGTGACTGGTCCAAGAGTCAAGAAAGCTAAGTGGGTAGGAGACAAGGGGTGAAAGTATAGCAGTTGCAGCTCCAACTACCTCTTGCTGAGACAGCAGAAGTATGCCAAGCTATGTGAACTACAAAAGGCTGGCCACTTCACGGGCCCCAGGCTCTCCTCTCCAGCCCCAACAGTCTCTCTAACCAGAAACATAGAGGAAAGGGAAGTCTGGTCCGTGGGTTTCGGCCTTGATGATCTGACAGGCTTTAAACACGCAGCAGTCTAGCCCTTGTCGAGGTGGCACCGACACACACTTGCTTAAGCCATGTTTCTAAATAAAGACAAAGGCTGTTGCGCAGGGCCTGATGTGAAGTGAGTGTCCCTCCACACAACCAACGTGAAGCTCCTCCTATGAGGAACAGACGCAAGGCACCTCCGCTCTGAGTTCATTCTCTGACAAGCACTTAGCGTTCTCATCGGGTAAACTAAGTAGGTGGGTAAAAATCACATCCTTTTAACACATCTACTGGTAAGTGATCAAAGGATCAACGTAAGGAGACAAATATTTGAGCAGCAGATAGCAGATGATGAGAAAATGATCCTTGTTCCTCATTTGCAGCCAGTCCGGCTTAGGGTCCTTCCCACAGCCCCCTGCTCTCTGCCAATGCATCAGCAAGTCCAGGTGCAGACTGTAAGCCAATTTTACCAGAGCCTCATGGTTTAAATAATTTCACTGCCTTTATAATCTAGCTTGCAAGTCACTTCTCAGAGACTATTGTAAGACGCGTTCGCGGCCTCCTGGTTCCACCGCAGGGCTACCCGAGAGCACAGGAATCCCATTAATCCTGGATATTTTTTAATTTGGCTTGTTTTGATTTGGTTTGATTGGGATTTTGCATCATCCTAACAGTGATGACGCTACAAAGCAGGTGTTCTTTCTGACCCTTTACAAGATGCAAAAGGCATCCTGTCTTCTGGAATTTCTGCTCAAATAGCTCAGCATACTGTGTTCTAAGGCCATACCTACATAACAGTCACTGGCCTAATCCAGGGGAGTTTGCTGGTATTTAATCAGAAAGCCCCACTCCAGAGGGGGCCACTACAAGACCCTCAGCTATTTAAATAATCTCTAGCCAGCACTTGAGGGTGTTTTCATTAACATAATGGATGTCTGTTGACATGCATTTGCTTAACATACATGAATGGCCAAAACAATTTAAAGAGCCTATTTGCATTAGTGCCATATAAAAATGCTTAACCCCTATGAATGTCCTCCCACCTGGCTCATTAAAATGCCCCGTATCCATCTAATCTGAAAGGTCTGTAGGTTGGCTGACTCCTAACAAGTAACTCAAAACTCCTGCCCATAGGACTGCATTTGTCCCAGATGCAACTCTTGTTTGTTCAAGGGGCGCGGGGGAGCAAGAGGCAGAGTCCTCTCAAGTTCACTGAACCAGCTGTGCGCTATCCGTACCTGCTTGCTCGTGAATACGCATGGAGGAGGCCTCAAACTGAGGCTTTCTTCATTCAGACTCAGTGGTGACATTGCAGGGGCTCCGTAGCTCAGCCCCTGTTATCCTGGATGGGTGCCCAGTATCCCCCATGGCCAGCTTGCTCTCCCTGAGCAACCGAGTCTGGGCATGAGGAACAAAAGGTTCCGAAGCGTGCTCAGGTTCATACACACCTGAGAGAGATAACGGTAGGATTGGAGCCCAGGGCTGGCCACCCTGAAAATCTGCCCTCTTTACTGTCCTGTTCCGTGGTCCAAGGAGGCAATAATTCGGGGTTCCAGGAATGGAGCAATGGGTCAGGCTCCTTCCTACAGGTAAGGTTGAAATGTAGTTAAAATAGAAACTCTCAAGAAGTTCTGACTGAGAACCGTGACATCTTCGGCATGCTAGCTTTCTGGTCCCCACAGATCATTTTTAAAGTCCAAACAATGTATACCTTCCCATCAATGCTTTCTTCTGCAAACCTGCCGGTTCCTGATCATGTGACACCTCCGAGCGTCTTTTCTTGCCTATGAATAACCGCGCAGCCTCACTCCCTGTAATCCCACAGCTCAGAGTTACAGCTCTTCCCCGCAGCTGAATCTGCCCCGCCCCCTGCCTCATGATCCACCCCCATTCACGCTGTGTCTGGCCCCTCCTACAGAAGGGCAGGGGTGGTTAGTACCAGCAGGTGCTTCTACTTCAAGCCACCTCTTAGCTCTTATTACCAAGTCCTGCAGGAGGGAATCATCTTCTCAGCATCTTTGTATATGCCACATCAAGAACAGACGCCAGTTTCGTCATCACTTTTGGCCACTGACCACGAATTCCCACGTGAAGGAAAAGACCTGACCACAGAAGCAAGAAGGTAGAGAATCGGGAGAGAAGCAGATTCTCAAAGATGAAGCTTGAAAGTATTCAACAGTAACACTTCAGCAAGCCATCCTCAAACTGCTTGTTACCACTTAATTAAAAGGGAACCAGAGGAGCAGCTTGGAGCTCTAAACTGGCCACAAAGGGCAAGGGCAAAGTGGCAGCAGTAAATACAATTATCTGTTTCTTTCTGGCCCGGAACTAGCAAAAGCCAACAGGTAAATTCAGTCATAAATGCAACTAGCTGTCTCCCGTTTCAAACGCGCATCCTGCGTTTCAGACCACACAGAATGGTCAGTCGCTGACTACAAGGGAAAACAGTAACAATTCTCAGAGGCATTTTCCTACAGCCTTCACCAACAGGGCCTCCCAGCCAGCAAGTAGAACCACGGTCATGCAAAGCTCTCTAATACATATGCCTGGTGAGTTTCACGCACGCTCTGCCTTTATCTGATGGGTGTATTGCTTAAGACATGTCCATCGAAATACAAAATAACAGAAGCAGATTTAAAAATCCCTGCCAAACTGCAACCTTCACCAATAGGAGCTGGCTAAATAAGTGAAAATATATCCATGGGATGGGAAGTTACACCAGAAAAAACCTACATGTTTATATGGAAATATTTCTCAATCAAAAAGTTAGATTGAAAAAATTTATAGAACAACTTCTGCAATGTTAGAATTATCTTTCTGACAAAAGAGAAAGATACATAGAGTTCTCTCTAAATCCAGGGTGGACTGGGCTCAGAATTTCTCAAATACCAAAGTTAGAGAAGGTTTAAGATCCTTGTGTAAAATGGTATAGTTTCTATAGACCCTGTGCATGTCTTCCTGGAAACATTAATCATATCTAGATTATTCTTACCTAATACAAGGTTTGTATTCATAGTTATGCTGTTGTATTTGGATGATAATGACAAGAAAAAAATCTATAACTTTTGCAAAATATTTTCAATCCACGGCCTACAGCAAAATCCAGGATTGTGAAACCCACGGGTGTGGGGGGCAGGTTCCATTTGCTGTTTGCTGTAAGACCATGAGGAACCCGCAAAGAGTCACAGTGACCTGCAAAGATGGAGAATGTCCATGGAGGCAACGAGGGCCGGCATGAGACGTGTCGATGTCAGAACTCCAACTGTTTGCATTTGGGGCCAACCTGTCATCAAAAGTTTTCCTAATCTTTTAAAAATTACTTGGTTATACAGATTTTACTTTCTGGAGAATCTTACAAAGGGTATATGAAAAGTCTCTGTAAGGTTTTTATAGATAAAATGGCTTCAGAATGAAAAGTCTACAAATCTTAGAGACCGTATTAGCGTTGCCAGAATTATTGGAGCCAGTGCCTTGTTCCGTTTTCCTCACACACCAGATTCAGCCACCTGTCCCCAGTAAGACAATTAGCAAAGCCACACTAATAGGGAGAAGCAGAAAATAAAAAGATATATTCGATACGGTCACATTGGCGGAAAGGAACAAAGAGATTCAGTAGCCCCAGTCCCAGGCCCATCTTTGGGATACTTACATGAAGTCTGGGCTCAAGAGAAGAACCAGAGTGATATACACAGCTAAGAGGTTTGGTTAAGGCGTGATCCCACCTATCACTGACATCATTGCTGAACTCCAGTCTTTGCTGAAAGGTGATCTGGAAAAAAAAAATGAAAAAAAGAAATTCTTTCAGGAGGACAAGTTCTCCCTTAGGCTGGAAATTCCCGTTTCCTGGGACTAACATTTCAAAAGTCTGAGAATCAAGGCGAGGGTCGCGAGTGTCTCTATAATATTCTTATTCCTGTTGAATGAAAATATAAATAAAAAGGAAAGGACCATGATTGGTACCGGGCTTCGCAACCTCATGAGAAGAAAGGAAGAAAGAAAAGAAGGAAGGAGCCGGGCAGTGGTGGAACACGCTTTTAATCCCAGCACTCGGGAGGCAGAGGCAGGTGGGTCTCAGTTTGAGGCCAGCCTGGTCTACTAGAGCTAGTTCCAGGATAGGCTCCAAAGCTACAGAGAAACCCTGTCTTATAAAAAAGCGGGGGGGGGGGGACATGACTGCTCCTACCAGGTATTGAGGAAAAGAAAGTTTATTACGGCTATGTGGGAGAGCATAGTCAGAAGCAGGACGTCTGGGAGAGTCTGGAGTGGACACGAGCAGACTGAGCTGTGCCCTGCAAGGCGAGGGGGAAGGAGGAATGAAAGAGGACAGAGCAGAACCAGGTGCAGCAGCCATGAGACCCAAAGGTACAAAGATAGCAGGTAAGCACAATGGTTGGGCTGTAGAAAGAAGGGCAGCCCAGCCCCCAGGTTGGAGAAGTTCAGGGTAGGGGTGGGGTTTGCCAGCCGGAAAAGCCATGCAAGGGATAGGGACTGAAGGATACAGGGAGAACCTGGCAGCTGGGTCCACTTTGGTGTGTTAAATAGACACCCCACCCATTTGTCCCAGGTTTGAATTCTAACACCCGTGGGGCAGGCTGGTTATATTAAGGGTGACACCTTTGAAAAAGTCGATAAATGACATGAAGAGCAAACATTTGGCTCCTGTTAGGAAAGCAGGGAGGAAGGACAGGATGGCAGGGTGTGAGAGAATGGACAAGGGAATAAAGGAGAGATGCTGGCTGCTGGCATGCTAAATCTCCTTTACCAGATCCCCCTGACATGCTGGCACTGAACCAACAAAAGAAGGCAGACGCTATGTGCCCTCAAGAGGGTACCTTCAGATCCAAGTCTGGGCGAGGCACTGGTTCTGAAGAACAGGCTGGAATTTGTAGCAGACCTTGGTCTGTTGCCCTTTCCCTGGGAAGCTTTTACCAAGGACTTCAGTAAGCTACAGGACCCTCTTCTATCCACAGCAGGGATCATATAAATTAAGCCCTCGCTGCAGGGCACAGACGTAAAAGCCTTTACTGTGGGCAATGCATTTACCAACCGCTGGTGCTGGAAAGCAGAGGCCTCCAGAACGGTTACTATGGTGAGGGAGGAAGCCCGCCACTCACCTGATGGGTGGTATCTACTGCTTGCTAATAGGGTCACACCTGCACATTCTCAAGAGGATCTATTGTATAGATGCTGGTGTACGAAGTGCAAGCCTGAAAGTGTACGAAACTCTTCAGATAATGTGCTGGGAAAGTGATGTCAGCTTCTAGGCAACAGGGATCAAAAGTAAAGAGGACTCCATACCCACGCCAATACCTTGAATTCAGGACTATTTCTTTAATACCAAATTTGAAGCAATAAGCTACTTGAATTCAGTGTTATTTTCATCAAGATTACTTTGCCAAGGATGTATTATTTATTTCTTCAAGAGTGGGGTGGTAAGTGTCCAGATAAAACTGTGGACTAGAAATTACTTCCATATGATCTGATTACAGCATGAACACTCCAAGGTATGGCTGTGGGTATGAGGGGGAGAAACAGCCGGAAGCATTTGGAAGAGTCCAGAGCAGGGAAAGAAGGAGAGAACGTTGGAACATAGCTAGGAAATTGGACTTGGTGGTGAAAATAGGTGCAGGGGTTGCTAGAGAACATGGAAGGTGCTTGAGAGATAAAGAGAAAGAATGTGGGAAGAGACGAGAGAGAGAGAGAGAGAGAGAGAGAGAGAGAGAGAGAGAGAGAGAGAGAGAGAGAGAGACAAGAGAGAGGGGGCAAAAAGAGAGGGAGCATAGCCAAGTTATATGAGATTGAAAAGCTAGAAGAGGGAAACCCAGCCCAGGGCTGGAGAAATTTAGGGTAGGAAGAAATTTAGGGTGGGAAGAACCACAGAGAGTGATGATGTTGAAAGAGCCTGGAGCCAGCATGTCTTTGTGTGCTAAGGGGCACCATGGATGGCTATTTGTCCCTGCTGACAGTGATGGAGAAACAGCTCCATTGGTAGAGGGACCTGGCACCAGAATATGGGGGGCCTGACACTGATTAATAATAATAATAATAATAATATTCTTTAAAAGCATGGAAAGGTTTCAGAAGCTCCCAAAGTCTCCTGTAAAGTGCAGAGGAAAAGAAGGGAGATGCCCTGAGAAGAAGCCAGACACAGTCCCTGGCCTGTGGCTTCCCCAGGGAAGAGAAGCAGGGACTCTTACAAAAGGAGAAAGTAGAAAGATACTGAGCTCCTACCCTCAGGGCAGCCTCTGATTCTGAGTGCATAGTGGAAGGCTATGTAGCTTCCATAAACCGGGAGTTCCCACAATCATTCTCAAATTCTTTCATAGAAAAAGTCTCTGCCATATTCAGCTGAGAAAATGGGATCACAGTAGGGAAACCATTTGCCCAAAGCCATATACCTAGCAGGCATGTATAACAAAACCACAACTTGGCTCGTAAAGCAGAATTTTCTACGCCAGCAGCCTCTCCTCACCTGCAGAGCTATCTGAACAAGGACAGAGGACGAGCAGGACATCTCTATTACACACCCACCAATAATGCTATGGTGCAGGTCTCTGGTTCCGAGTACCATGCTGCCCCAATTCAATTTAATGTATGTAACACTTAAAGAACACTGTGGGTTTGCAAAGGAGACCTGGCTGTTTTAACTCTATACGAATATGCTCAGACATTGAGAGAATTGAGGAATAAGGTCGGGAGCCCTCATGTCCATTCTGAGCCCCCCTCAGGGTACCAATGTCCACCTTTGGTTGTATTTGTGTTTAATGGTCTGCAGAGGTCATAACACCTCAGCTTGAAGATTTTAGCACATCTTCTAAAAACAGAGACTGTCTTCTATGAAACCAGCAAACCTGTGCCTGCCAGCTCAACCTCTGTCTTTAATTATCCACATGTTACTCACTTACATGTGTCTGTGAAGTCCACAGTCAGTCTAATTCACGTTAAAGCCGTCTCGGTCTATATAGTGAGTACCAGGCCAATCAGGGCTACAAAGAAAGACCTTGTTTCAAGAAAAAGAGAGTTGTTTTCCCCCTAACAAAAATAATATATTCCCATGAAACAAGTTCTCTCTTTATTTTTTAATCTAATTTCTAGGAAACTATTTTCATAAATGCAGGCATTTCTCCCATTTACAAAATATAACTTTCAAGCAGCCATATTTTGTTCTCATCAATCCTTGGACATGTAATTAATGTGAGACGGCAGGAGAGGGAGATGGGTTCCCCATGGCCATGTGCCCTCTCTGAACAAGGCCCCTCACTGTAGCACATCTGGAGAGTGGAACCAGACCCCTCACTGTAGCACATCTGGAGAGTGGAGCCAGACCCCTCGCTGTAGCACATCTGGAGAGTGGAGCCAGACCCCTCGCTGTAGCACATCTGGAGAGTAGTCAGACCCCTCGCTATAGCACATCTGGAGAGTGGAGCCTGACCCCTCGCTGTAGCACATCTGGAGAGTGGAGCCAGACCCCTCGCTGTAGCACATCTGGAGAGTGGAGCCTGACCCCTCGCTGTAGCACATCTGGAGAGTGGAGCCTGACCCCTCGCTATAGCACATCTGGAGAGTGGAGCCAGACCCCTCGCTGTAGCACATCTGGTGAGTAGTCAGACCCCTAGCTGTAGCACATCTGGAGAGTAGTCAGACCCCTCGCTATAGCACATCTGGTTAACCCTGACTTTGGAAGTCCCGCACAAGTCTCACTCCACTGTGACCAAGATGTGGGCAGGGCTGAGTTTCTTCTGGATGCTCTTGGGAGAATGTTTCCTCCTTCCTTTCTTTTCCATTTCTTTCCTTTCCTCTCTGGATTCTGAAGTGGCCTGAAGCTCCTTCCTCCACACTCAAAGTCTGCAATGTCTCACCCCTGGTCATAGACTTCACTACCCTCAGGAAAGGGCTTCTGCTTTCAAAGACCCGTGTAAGGAGAGTGGGTCTCCCCAGTAGTGAGTGGTCCAGCTCCAGTCTTTTAGTGGATCACATCTGCAGTTTGCTTTTGTCAAGTAAGGTCAGGTAGGTGTCTGGGATTAGGATTTAGCTTTGTGGAGTCTATTATTCTGCCTGCCACGTGGCTTAAAGTTTGTTCAGGCCCAGGCCCATGCTTTGTGCATTTACAAACAGTTGACAAAAGTGGGGGGGGGGGTCAAGAAAAAATAATTCCCCCAGAATAAAAAGAAATAAGCTAAGTGGGTTCAGCACTGCATTCTGTTTGATGGGGGTTGCACAATGAGCCATTCAAAAGGCTCCACAGGTTGACTTCAGCCCCATGAAGGCACAGCAAAGCCCATATTAAACTGTGCAAATTCTGTGAAGGCGCTGGGGATTGTGCACTCTAGAAAGAGGGTCACAGGTGAGATCATATTTCTTATAACCCCAAGGATGCAATAATTGCTTCTATGACAAGTAAGAAATGAAATAAAATGCCCACTTCAGAAAAACTGTCAGATCAAGGGAATGTCTGGACCAGACAATGAGAAAATAAATAAATCTTCAGTCACCTCTTTGGTCCTTTGGACGCTGGGAATAGCCATCCACCCGCTAACCCAGCCATGGAAATGGACTTATTTAACAAAAGGAAACCACCTGGGGATAAACACTGAGGATCTGGCTACAATTAATAGCTTTGCTTGCTTAGCATGGTTACTCAGTGGAGAGGGAAGGGCAAGGTGGGGACAATCAAATGTAAGAAACAGTAATGAAATCTGTCAGCTGCATTTCCTCCTAGGCAGCAGTGGGGGAGATGGGGGATGAACACAAGGTCTCAGCAGACCTGGGCAACAGCTTATGCTTGGCTATCAACCTTGGTCAAAGATACTAAGTCTTAGGTAAGGAACCATGTTTCTTAATCTGCTTTGTGAGATTTTAAATGTATTGACTGGCACTTTATGTTTAAAGTACATTAGAGAAAAAGTTCCTAACACTGCATACTCTTGGCACACTCCTAAGAGGCAAATGTCTGCTGAGTGTTGAACCCCATTTCCTTCACCCTTCTGAGCACAGTATTTGTTCCTATAGAAAGAGCTAGACTATTGTGTCCTTACAATCGTGTGCCTATATTATGCTCAACACAATAATTTACTTTCTTCCTTCCATGAAAATGACCATAGACATCTTATAGAAAACTTCATGTGGTTCTAATTCACCCAAGTTGAAATCAAATGTCTGATCATGCCAAAGTATGCTTACATCAAAAATATATCCTACTGATGGACAGTCAATCATGTGTCAATTTCATTTTGCACAGAATAACTGTGCAAGTTGGACAGTGGTGGAGCATGCCTTTAATCCCAGCACTTGGTGGAGCACGCCTTTAATCCTACCACTTGGGAGGGAAAGGCTGGTGAGTTCGAGGCCAGCCTGGTCTACAGAGTAAGTTCCAGGACAAGTTGGGCTACACAGAGAACCCCTGTCTTAAAAATTAATTAATTAATTAATTAATTAATTAACTATGCAAAGTCATGAGGACTCTACCCTATACAGAGAACTATGGGCAACTAAGGAATATTGAGAGCTAGAGAAATAGTCTTCCTTAGGGAAGAACACACCACACCAGTCATGCAAAACCAATGGTCATCTCTGAAGACATATCCATACAAGTAAGATTATAAAGATGGATTAGGTTGTATTTATGTGTTAAGGAATATGGAGGTGGGGTGAAGCGTGTAACAGTAATTAAAGAAGAAGCCACGACTTTGAAAGAGAGCAGGGGAGGGTAGAAGGGAGGGTTTGGCGGGTAGAAAGGGAGGAAAGGAAATGATTCCACATTCATTGCAATAGAGACACTCTCATTCCCAAGATAGCAATAGCTGAGTGTGAGCTACAGTGTATGAGGAGGCCTGCTTTATCAAACTACACTGGTTCTGTAGGCTGTTACTCTTTAACTTTTGCCACTCGAGGAAAACACTAATTTTGCATTTCTGAATGCTAGTAAGGTTATTTATCTAATTCATTCATGAACTTTAATTGTTATCTTAGAAGCTGGACAAACCCTATCCCTCCTGAGGGGAGAAAATAGAGCGGTTGAAATAGCCAACAGAACTTTCTATAGCTGTTACCAGTGTCTGAGAGAAGACGGTGCTTTGGCCATTAATAATTACACCTTAGCCATATGTTAGGAAAGACCCTCCAGAACATTCTGGGGATTTCTAAGTTACAACCCACTAACGCTACCACAGAAGCAGGAGAGATGAATTTCCAGTTCAGCAGGAGATGGGGTTGACATCTAGGCAGTCCTAATCTGACCCGGTGGCAAACTGATAGTGACGGTCTGAAGCCTGGGTTGAGGAGCACTGTGACCGATGGTGGCTTAAGAGGAAAGAGAAAAACTGGCTAGCAGAGTGTGTCACAAGAGCACAGAAGAGCCATATCCCAGGCATAAGCTGATGTTTCTCCCAAACTCAAAGTGGGGAAGCTTGACAGGTGGGGCTGCAGCAAGGTGTCGGGGCTCTTTGATGTGAGCAGGGGAAGTCCCCCCATATTTCTCCTTCTCAGGAAGAGGAGATAGGACCTTTTTACTCATCCTTTTTCCCTTTCTCTCCTGGCCTCCCCTTCTTTGACCCTGTTTCATCTTTTCCACAATTCATCTGAATAAGAACACCATGGGAAACAGGGGAGGACAGAGGTGTCTACCTCCTCTACCGACCGGGGAAAGGTCAGACTACGGGGCTGATAACGGAGAGATTAAGATAGCTCAAACCAGAGAAAAGAGAACGGTAGCAAAAAGGACAGGCAAACGGACGCCAATTCACTTTGGCAAATTAGCATTTAAGCCAGAAAATAAAAGTAAATATAAACACAGAAAGCTTAGGATGCCTGCGTTGGTGCTCTAGCCAGGAATGGCATCCATCCCTGCCCCCTCCTGTCTCTGATGACACTCCCTCCTTTATCAGGACGCGGCCTGACCCCTAGCGGCTGCACTCACCGCCTTTGTCGACACAAGGCGAGTTTCTTTGACCTACTGGCTTGTCAGAGCCCTTGGTGACTGAGGCGCCTACACTCTCACAGTGAAGAATGTGCCTCCACTTAGGGAGCAGCTTTAAAACAAACAAACAAACACAAAACAAAACAAAAAACAACTTCAGAGAAATTAACAGTGGAAAGTAAGCCTTTATCCTGTGACGGGACAACAGGGTTTGTCCCTATCGGGTTTTCTCTTGTGATTATAAACTCAGGTTTCAAAGCCTCGGGCTCTTCTAAAAAAGGAGTCAAGGGTTGGAGAGATGGCTTAACAGTTAAGAACGCTTCCTTATCTTCCGGGGGACTGGAGGTCAGTTCCTAGCATTCACGTTGAGTGACTCAAAACAGCCTCTTAACTACAGCTCCAGGGAAGATCCACTCCTCCCTCTCCCTATCTCCTTGGGTTCACCCCCCCCACACACACACACATGCACACGCATGCACACACGCACAGTATGTACACAGAGAGACATACAAGCATGCACATAGATACAAAAATAAAAATACATCTTTTTTTGCTCTTTACTAAATATAATGTTTTATTGCTTGTTGAGAATTCCATACATTATACTTGATCATCTTCACTTCCTTCCATTCCCCCCCCCCATTTCATGGCCTCATCCTTTCAAGAAGTAACGTAGTAGGTACAATTTATGCTAAGCATATATACTCCTAAGCATGGGGCTATGCATTGAAATATGATCAAAGTACCAGGGACCACACCCCTAAAATTAGGAAGAGTCAGACATTGCAGCCAACACAGTGTCCCTGCAGCCGAGAGAGTGTCTACATGCTCACAGCCCAAAGCCCTCCCTGTTCCAGTTCTCATCATTGGAATAAATCTTGAAACCAGGATGTTTTCACAGAACTGTGAGACTCACGAACCTGTGGCTGGTGCCCAGCGGATGAACCAGGCAATCATATTTTCTTTTTTTTTTTTTTTGATTTATTTATTTATATGTATACAGAATTCTCAGTATTCCGTCTGCATGTGTGCTGGCAGGCCAGAAGATGGCACCAGATCTTATTACAGATG